TGTTTCTCTTTCAGTGTGTATGCATTCCATGTTCATTTCCTAAATTATTGCTTCGTCTTCAAGTCCTGTATTTGCATTAACAGTTCACTTATATGGTCCCCTAGTTAAAAACAAAACAGCAGCAGATGTACACATTCGCTGATAGCTGATAGCTACGTCCATCACTAAGATTTTATTGCAGAGATGTTCAATGTCCAAATCAGTCAAACTGAATTTAATTTAGACATCTAACTCCCTCAGGCCTGGTTTGAAAATGTCAGCCTAAAATAGCACGTGTTTGAGTACAACAAACTAGGAAGGGAGTTTTTATATATGTATTTTTGTGTACAACCTGATATCACAGAGTGCATTGGAGCACAATTACACTTTTCTTCACTGAGAAGAGTCACAGAATTAGAATAACACTAAGGAGTTCCTGCTGTAATACTTCTTCCACTTGCAAAGCACATGAGTAAAAAGAGAGAAAGAGCTCCTTAATTTAACCAGGTAGTGAACAAGTGATCATCAGAAAGATTAAAATAGCTACCTCTGTGGTACCAGTTATAGACTGGCACAAATGCCAAGGGTTTAGAAAGTGAGCTAATGCTCTAAACAAGAATATATGTATTAGGTAACTCTCATGAGTCAAGAAGAAAACTTAATGCTTAGTAATATGTACACAGAAGGCAGAAACACTTTGATTATTCACTTCTGAACAAGACCAAGTTGAATGTTTCTTTCCTCTATTTTCAGTTAGGAAAATGTGAATCCAGAGGTACACGCATCAACAATTCACTGTTGTTTGTAATTCAGCAAATGAAATGCAGAAGTTACTTAAACACCCCTCAAAGTGTACAGGATCATTCATTATACATCTCCTACCCTAAATCTGCATTACCACCTTGGGTAATGAAAATGTTCAAAGTTCAGAAATTCTTAAATAAGTAATTCTCAAGTTGTTCCTAGTGTTATCTATCTATAGATTTATTGTTAAAAGCTGAACTGGTAAACTTTCCTTTTCCTGAATAAAGTAAGTAATTTAAATTATGTGTACTGAAAAATAATAAATTGCTTTATGCTTCACTGTTGTAGAGAGCTACAGTGTGTCTCAGCCAGACTCCTAGTAAAGCTGCTTAAAGCAGCCTTTGAATTGACAGTTCAAGTATAAATTTAAAATTCAATTCCAGTTCATATTCAAAGAATTCAAAATAAGATTTAAAAACAAATTATTGGAATTTTTTTACCAAAATTTGTTGAAAAGCTGCATTAAATAAAAATCTCAGCATTAAAACGAAATTCTGTGATATCTTAGATAATTATTAATGGAAGCATTTTTATACAGTTCAATAGATTGTGTTTAGTTTTTGTTTGGGTGTATGGAAAAAACTTCCAGAATTCTTTCATGGAAGTTGAAGGTATACAATAAGGAGAATAACTCTTTAGAACTGAGAATCATTCCTGGTTGTTTCTTACAGGCTCAAAGAAAGAAAGAAAGAAAGAAAGAAAGAAAGAAAGAAAGAAAGAAAGAAAGAAAGAAAGAAAGAAAGGAAGAAAGGAAGGAAGGAAGGAAGGAAGGAAGAAAGAAAGAAAGGAAGGAAGGAAGGAAGAAAGAAAGGAAGAAAGAAAGAAAGGAAGAAAGAAAAAAAAAGGCAAAGATCATTACAACAGCTTGACCACCTTTGCTCATCAGCACAGTTGACCAGTGTCAGTGAGTATCTATGTAATTTTTTTCCTATAGACTTTCCATAAAAATATTGTAATTTTGCACCCAGTTTACCATGAATAGTGATACAGACAGAGAAGATAAAGAGGAACATATGCAATAATTTGGACTTCTTCCTTTGATCAAATTAGTTGAGTTGCATAATTGATACTGAAATCAAGATACAATTATGATTCTATGATTGTTATTCTTTCCTATGTGAAACATTATATTTGTGTTGCTTCATTACTTGTTTGCTCATGCACTGGTGCTGTGAGCAATCCTGTGCTGATGCGAGTTGAAGGCAGTGAGTTACCTCAGATACACTGAGTTATTGACATGAACAAGACAAGGGTCTTGAATACGTTGTGCAGATTTTTGGTGTGCTAGGAGGGCATTTCCATAGTGGAAAATTTTCATAAAATTATATCTGCTTTGTTAGCCATGAGTTCCTTCTTTTATCATCATTGACAGAGATCTTGGTTACAGTTTACATGCTGGAGGTTGCAAATATTAACACAATGAACAAAAAATCTTCCAGACAAAACCTCTTGCAAACATGTTTGATTACATCTCAGGATAATAATGACAGTATCAAACTAAAGCTCGTGGAAGGCAGTGGCAGGACCTGCACTGTATTCAGAAGGGTTTGGATAAGGCAGTTTTGTACAATTGCCTGAGCCCTCCTACGCTCTTCAGAATTTGGCAGGTGTTTCATGGGCACTGATAATGGGAGATTCCTCTCCTCTGCTTTTGCTGGCAGGAAGTGTTTTAGTTATGACATCACAAAATATTTGCTCTGCTTCAAGGCACAAGAAGAGAATTTTTGCTGCTTGCTTTCAGAAAATAATAAGCATTTTTCTTTTGAAAACAAATCCTAAAAGGGGGGGTCACCACTTTGCACTGCTAAGAGTTTTGTACTCTTGTACTAAATGAATATTCAGCTTTCTCTTTAGTGATGTAGAATCAGGGCCTAACTATTCAGAGTCTTTGGAAATCATGTCGTATTCAAATAATTGCTAAGAAAATTGCCTGATGTTTTTTTTTGTTTGTTTGGCTTTGTTTTTTCCTCACTAAAGCTGGGAAGTATTTGTGTCATGATAAGAGAGATCAGTAAGCCATCATTATACTGAATGGCCTGCCAGCAACTGCTGAAATAATTCTACCTTAATTTAGCAACTCAGTGGGGTGATTTGAATAAAGAGCATGTTCTTTTAAAGTTTCCAGAAAAAGACTAATGCATTTGGTACAGAGCACTATTTTTAACTTTTCCTATGACAGAATTATAATCAGCTACGAATGCTAGCAAAACAAGTTTTACTTGTTTCTCTTTTTCCTCCTAGTAAAAATGTACAATAAAAATGTATTCCCATGCTTTAAATGAGGTTTAATCTATTTTCAACTCAAAGTCAGCAAGACTGTATTTGGTGTCACATAAAACAAACAGCACTGCTCCAAATAAGACTTCGAAACAGCAGTTCAACCCATTTTTATGCTGTTCACTCTTAACTGAACCATGGTGCAAGGTAAGATGTAGAGTTGGTTATCAAAGTGAAAGTAGAATCAGACTGTCAAATATCCCTTTGAGGAATTACTGTAATAATTTGTATTTTATTTACTTTTTTTTTTTTTTTTTCTTTAAAGGGAATCAAGAAATTAGCTTGCTAGTCACCCCACCACACATACCTTGGCAAATTCAGCATCTGAAGTAACAATCACTTGTTACAAACATTTTGATAAAAAAAATGAAAGTAGCTTTCTTCATTTTACAAAAGTGCAGTTATTGGTTTCATTTCAAGAATGGCTGTAGCAGCCTAAGAGATATCATGTAAAAATATTAAAAAAAAAAAAATAGAACACAGATTACCATAATTTATTTTCACACATTGCTCAGCAGCTGAACTTTTCTTTCTGCAGGAAAATTCTGCTATTCTAGATAGTAGTGTGCTGCTATTGGTCTAATTGGAACAAATCTGTTGAGTTTGAGCATTTTTTAGAGAAAAATTTTTTTGCAAGGATTGTTCAAACTATTCCTTTGAAGTAACTGATCTGATGCTTCTCGTACCAACATCTAACAGTAAGACAAAACTTTTAGAGCTGATTGCTAGCCACAAATGTTCCCTGATTCAGAATTCAAAAAATGAAACCAATAGTCATTCAGCATGGGCTTTTTTGGTAGTCCACTCTAACTGTTTATTCTGCACTATAACAGCAGCTGCCAGGGTGGTTTCTAGCATAGCTGTATGGAATTTCTTTGAGTAGAAGTTTCTCCAGATGTAGCTTTGAGCGTGCCAGATGGGCTGGCTCTTCAGTATAAAGAAGAAATTGGAAGCTGAGTCTGTGGTGCTTTAGCAGAAAGCAGCTTTGATCAGTACTCAGTGAAAAAGTTACAGCTTTTCAATTTGCTCACCTCATCCAGTATTCAGACAATTTTGTCACAGGAAGATTCACAGAGAGAGGAATATGTGTATTCTCCAATGTTCTCTAGCATATTTTTATAGTACCACCTTCCTGGACCTCCTTTTCCTCCTCCTACGACTCTCATCCATTTTCTTTCTCCAAAACATTGCCATGAACAGTCAGTCAGATGATGAAAAAACAAGTTTTTCAGCTGTAGTGGCAATCGTCAATTTTTAATATCTTAGTTATTGGCACATGAAGTTTGTTGAGGTACTTGTCAGTAATTTTAAATATACTGAGTATTGAAATTAAATCTTGACATTGAAAACTAGTGAACTGAAGGCATTAAGATTTCCTTCCACTGGAAGAACAAGATCCACCTTTGCATGAACCATCACTTGTATTTGAAAGATAAATGTCTGAAAACTCCTAAGTCAGTATCTTACTGATAACAGTGATACTAAAGATCAGTACCTTGTAGTACTGCATTTAAAACCAACCATATATCTAGCTATTAAAAATCGCTATCTTGTACTATTTTATTAAAATGTGGACAAAGCAGGCACTGGATAAACAGCTCCACGTTATCTATAGGTACAGCACCTGGCACGTGCTGCATGCAACAGGGAAGTACCACTTAGGTGTGAATAAATAATCTTCAAGAACAGGCCATTTGTGAAAAGGGAAAGAAAACAAACACGTACTTGAAAACATTTCTGTTTGCTTTCTAACTTCATCAGTTGATCTGCAAAGGTTTGGTTTTCTTTTTGCAAGCTTTACTTTAGTTTTTTCTAATATTGCAATCCCAGATTATTCAGTTAATCTAAGCACTCCTTGGCTTGCGTAAAATCACCATGATGAATGAGGGAAAAGAATAACATTACGTCAGAGGTTCAAAGCAAAGATAAAAACATGAAAGTAAGTAATATGGAATTTATTTATTCATTTCCAAGGTATTCTTTTAGGGCTCTGGTTTGTGGTCTAAGGGTTTTAGAGTAATTTCTTGACTCTAAAAAGCCTAATGAAAATTTCTAAGGCTCTGCAATTCCATTTGCCTGGAACAAAACACCTTATAAAAGTTCTGCCAAGCGCTCATCAAAAACCCCTGCTGAGCAGAACCTGATCTGCATTAACAACGACAGCTAAGTAACAGGCAGTATTTGTACAGATGTACATCACTGTATAATCAAAGGCATCTACAATAAATACAATTCCCAACTTCCAGGTAGCAAACACAAAGTTACCTTAAGCACACTTGTGTCTCAATTCACATGTCCAGAGGCAATGCTTTTCTGAAAACTGGGAGGTTTAATGAAATTAGCTGTATCCTTATTCAGTCTGATTGTCACATGGCTAGCTGTATTACTCACAGTAACAGTATTTTTCAACATATCTGCATATACAGGTGGAAAATAGGTGCATTTGAGTTTTACTTCTATGTTTACTCCAATGAGGGTCCAAGAAATGTATAATGTTGAACAGTATGTTGCATTATCTTCATTTATAAATCTCATTTTGCATTCACAACAACAAGAAAGATTGAGACCAATTCAAGAAACTGCTGACATATTCACAGTGAGTTTTTAATTAGATCTCTTCTTGGCTGAGCATCTTTTTGCATCTTGTTGGAATCTATGTTCCTTTGCACTTCTCTGAGGAATGTAAGAACAAGAGTCACACAAATGCCTGGTGAAAAAGACAGATGAGTCAAACTGTTGGAAAGCTCCCAGGGCAGCAGTTCAGATAGCTAACTCTTCAGACTTTTTCCTCCGCTAAATGTCAGATGTGTCACTGGTCTAACAGCCGCTGCCTGAGATTTGATTTTGTGCCAGCGTCACCGCCTCCATGATTCATCAAAGCAGCGAGAGAAAATCAGAACAGAATATCCTTCACCTTTGGTTTTGTTCCTAATTCACACAAAGAAAATCAGTAATTCTCTTGATCAAATCCTGAGCTTAAGTAATAACAGCAAAAAGTTACAGAGCTGGTCACACATCATCTAATTGTTTTGATGAGATGATGCAATGCCATTAAATTTCTTACAGGTGTACCTTCTCTGCAGCATCTGTAAACGTTACAAAATTAAGTGGCAAATGGTGTGAGATAGGTAATAAACTACAATTTATAGCTCCTCCTGTTTTTCAGGGCCACAAAAACATTAACAAAACAGAGTTCAGCTCAGAAAGACCAACACACTGAAAACTCCAACCCACTATGAGTCTCCTTCCGACTATTGTCCTAAGGCACAACATTAATATCAGGAATCCAGGCCAACATAAAGCAGGGCTTTTATTCTCAACACATATGACTGTATTTGTTCCATTTCTCTTAGCCATCCTGAAGAACCAGTGTCCCTTCTTTGCATGAAATACTGAATAAAAATAAATTTCTAGGAGGAGAGATTGCTTAGATAGATAAGCACCAGAAAAACTTTATGGAGATAAATGCATGTTTTACACTGATTGTCTTCAGAGTATTAGCCACTGTATTCTTATCTCCTTTTGTAAAAAGAGGAAAATACACGGAAATTCAGTACAGAAGATGTAAAATCTCACGGCTGCCTCTGGATTTCAAATCAGCTTAGCAACTGATTTATTTAGTTTTCTAGTCTTTTTTAACTGTGGAATGAATTACAAAATTAAATTGTAACCTGTCAGAGGCATTTGGTTGAAGTGCACTCCTTTTCCTATCAGAGCTCCAAAACCTGTAACAAATTTTGCCTCATATTAGGGGTCAAGATCTCATAATGTTCTCACTTGAAAAAGGGTTTGTAGACTCACTTCCAGCCTTAGTTTCTTACTATAACAAATTTACATCACAGTTTGGAAATAAAAAATAAAAACAATGCCAGGGTTTGTGATAAACCAAGATAATATTGATTCTGAGGATAGCAACATTCAAGAAAGTTTTTTTTCCAGCTAGGATAACTTCTTTGTCAGGGATGTCACTGTCTACTATGCTTACATTTCATTGCAGGGATATAACAGAAAACTATAAATAACTGATGGTTTTTTTCCATTTAAAATCAAGTACTTTTTCTAGATTTTAACAGAGTCCCCATCTTTGCAGTGAACTCACAAGCGTGTCAAAAACAGGAAACTGAAAGGTAATATTAAATGGTATATAACCACCAACCCACTGTGAGACCATTCCTTACTATTCAGAGACACGCTTCAGGTTTCAGGGAAATGAGATCTTCAAAACTGACAGTTTAAGCAGCAGTAATTCTTAACTTAGTGGATGAATGCTGAAAGTGTATTTCTGACAGAAGCCAATTTCAGTAGAGATTATTCTGCTGATCATTTAAGCAGCTTCAGAATATGCTGTGTTTTGTCAGTAGCTTCAAATACCTTTCTGCATGTTTTGGAAGAAATTGAGAACCACTTGTTTTTTTCTTGATAAGTTAAAACTGACTGATATCTTTAGAAAAATCTTACTGGTCACACACACACACACACAAAAAAAAACATAATACCAACATAAAAATGTGCTAAAGGCCTGATAATTTACTTCATTACAAATAAAATATGTGGTTAAAGAGAAAAATGAGCTTTAAAGCATATAGAGAGGTTAATGGAAAAGGAATTCTTTTTTACCGTAAAGCCTAAGCACACATAAAAAGATTTTCTTTGCTAAAAAACAGTAAAAGATAAGACTTGCATTGGTCAACTGATAATTCTGGCATCTCCAGGAGTTACACCTTCTGTGTTGTTCTATTCTCTGCCTCTGATGTTACCAGCTGTTGAACTTGAGGCACTGCTTATCCGTGCGTGTTGAATGTAGTTGCAATAAGGAATATTCTGATTTGCCATCATTTCCATCAGGAATGTGAAAGAGGAATGCCTTTCCTGGAATGAAAAATTATGTTCCTTCTTTGGACTGAAGCTCATCAGTCTGAGAGATCTTAGAACGGGACATTTATAAATGCAAATTTCTTTTCCTTTGGCAACGCAGCCTTTAAAGTATCAGACAGGAAGAAAGAGAAACATTTGCATTGATTTTGATTGTTTAATACTCAAGAGTGAAAAAGTGTAAAATCACAAAGCTTATACCACCACCAAAATGCAGTTTCATTTCAAATAACCAAAATACAAGCTGCCTGCAGTCTCATACAGCTGACATCAACAAACCCAGTTTCAACATTCTTACCGTCTTTTTAAACACCTGCTATTCACAAACATCAGTCAATACAGAGTTCCAAGTCTCTCACACAACTTTCCTTATATTCTATATCATATTTGATATATAGACCAGTGGTTTACACATTTAGAAAAGTGCCCACTTCTTATCTATCTCAGTATATAAATAGTTTTTACCCCCCAAGATTAGTAGTTATATTTTAAAGCTTTTTTTTTTTTTTAAATCTAAAGTCACTATTAAATGTATTTTGGTTTGTTTTTAAATGAAAAGCACAACTTACATGAGTATGCTTCAGAAGTGCATGCTGTCCAAGGTTATATCACCAATCCTTTCAGCCACATTGTAATATAATGCTCACGCAGAAGGTGATTACATAGGGTTAGTACATTAGACAACATTTGTTCTTACTAATAATGCACGTACCTATGGCCCTGATTCTGCAAATGCAACTGTAAGGCCTGCAGCATGTGACTGTCCACCTAACTACATTTTGTTGCTTGGAGGTAGTATCCAAAAGCTGTCATTATGCAAAATGCCTCGGGTTAATGAGAGCTAAGTGGAAAATCGGTGCTTACATAAACATTTCTAAAACTTATGCCATCCATACAAAATATTTGTTTTCACAGCCTCAAAGTATTCTTGCAAAGGAACTGTGCATATCTTTAAGCATTACGCTAATGCACATTGCCAGTTCCCTAAAATAAACTAACTTTCCTACAGCTGAGTAACATCCTGCTCTTTAACAGAACTATTGAAAGTACTCCAAAGAAATGTTTCCTTTCAGAGTAGCGCTGTACCTTGATGTAGCCTACGAGATCTGATTGTGATGCCTACAGGAATTTTTGCAGAGGTGCTGTTGCCTCAGTGGAAATAATGTTTTCTTCTCTCCTGCATTACTAAGAACACTGGTGTTATGTGATTCATTTATGTGAATCCCTACTGGTTTTTATCCTTCAGTTTCTTCACCTCTGAGCAGGTGAAGATAACTGTAACAGTGCTAGAATAGTTGATCCTAAGGACAACGTCTGTTTAAGATTACACAGGTTATCAATAAAAAAGGTTTAACTTTGGGAGTAGCTTTTCATAACAAAACACATTCTCTGCAGATGTTCTTAGATCTAATTTAAAGAAAATGTTTAAGTTTCCGGTTATAATCAAACCTCGAGAAGATTAACACTGATTACTTCTTTTTAAATACTGCTGCTTTTTACAGAGCTGACTCCTTTCTTTATTCAGTTATATAATAGTTGAAGTGCAGAATTTGATTGCTTGCAGTTAAGTATCTAGCTGGAAAATTCTGCCTCAGACATAATTATTAAAACAAACAAAGACATTACAATTTTAAAAAAGTAGATGGTCAGCTAAGGAAACAAAAACAGGATGATATTTGAAGTATGATGACTAATACCACCCTACTTATAAATGGAAGCACAAGGTCTTTTATAAGCGCATACGAATAACTTTGAGAAATGCTGTCATGTTTCATGGTGAACAGTCCAGATGAGCGCAGCATACACGCCTTTGGTGCTTCCACAAACCTCAGTTTCCTTCATCTTCCAGCTGTTGATTACACTTCCAACTTCAATAAATGATTTCCTGGTGCATAATTAAAAAAATATTCAATCCTGATCAACGCTGATACTTACATTCTATATCATATTTGATATATAGACCAGTGGTTTACACATTTAGAAAAGTGCCCACTTCTTTCCTGACACTGCTGTACTTATATAAAATCAGAAAAAATCAGAATCTATAGAAAGATTCGCAATGCAGACAAACCTCCTGAGTTAATCTTTGGAACACTGATAATAGTTTTAGTATACTTTGTACAGTTTCCAACTTAGTTACTAAGGCACACAACGATTAATCTGTTCCATATCTGAAACAGAATGATACGTCAGTCAGCAGGTTATTGCTCTTTAGCTTTGCATTTACATTCATATTATAAAGTAGCAGTCAGTTTTGAAAAATCTAGTTTCTGTTAATATTAGAAGAGTCTGAAAATTGAATATCCATGCCAGACTAAAACAGTTAAACTGGATTCTATTCTGAGTTAGCACACACAGAACTGTGCACAAAGAACCACAGGAAAATAATTCTGTGTCACAGACTACCAGCCTGGCACATGATAGCCATCCAGACACAGATGTGTTTCTACTCTGCAGAGAAAGTACAGGAGAGTGAGTGAGTGAGTGATATGCATGTGTGTGCGTGCGTGTGAATATAGCAGCTTCCCGTCTGTTTTTTTTATTCTTGTATGTGTTCAGTTTCATATCTTCTTATCCCAGTGAAAAAAACATTTCAGCTGCTATTTTTGTTTCTGCCAGCACTGCACGGTGTAGTACAGTAACTGGTTCTGATTTCTGACCTGAACTTTGAAGTGATTGAATTTTTATTGTAAAGCTGATTTATGTCCTTCAAAGTGCAGTCAAGTGAAATGAATACACTTCAAAATGGTTTAGGCAGAAACCGACTTTGGCCAGAGAAAAGTTTTATAACCAGAGAAAAGAAATACAAGGGAAAATTAAAATCTCTGGTTGGGTTTGCAGTTCTAGTGATCAGAAAGAGCATCTTCTCATTTGTAAACAAGGCAAGAATTCTCTGGAAACTGTCTGACACAAAATGATCACAGACACAATCTATATCATTTTTACGTATTTTCTTCAGATCATAGCTAGTATTAGCTAATTCCACTGTGCTAAGAAGCTATTATGGGATGTCCGACACGTCACACTTACCGTTAGCAACACCTAGTGTCCAGGTAAGCAATATACTGCAAAATAACTTGCTGCTGTTACTGTGCATACACACTGAAGCTGTAGAGTTCTCCTCCTTACTCTGGTGGAAGTACCATCTACTTTTTAATTTTATTCTTTTTTAAATGTACTACTCTGCAATTTCTCACTATGAATACTGCAAGAAAATTCTGCTTCAGTGGTACCTCTTTTTTTTTTTTTAATCTTTGCACTGCATTCTAACTATACAGATAATAGTATTTTTCTCTACTGTTGCCGTGCGTTTTTAAATCCTAAGGAATTGTATTGCAGTTTTTATAGCTGTAATAACTGTATCATTCCTTAAAATATTTTCATTAGGTATTGCATATAAATACACAGAAATGGAACAGAAAATCAGCTACCTACCACTCTCATTAGTCTTATGACCGCTAATATTTCTGTTAGTAGCTTTGAAGAGAATTGATGAATATTTTAGTAACCAAGTACAATACAGTATTTTTTTAAAATGGAAAAATCCTATTCAAATACACACTTGTTAATAAAATGCTATAAAACAGATGAAAAAACCTACAATCCTCTGAATTAGCCAGTAGCAAATTTCTGTCTCTATAGGCGGAAAAATCTGAAGTTACTGGAAACAGGTCTCTGAGGAAAAAAACATATTAATAGCATGATTTCTCCCAAAAATACAATTTCAAATCAAGTAAAAAGTGTACTGAATAGGTAGAAGGTTTCAATACTTCTCAGTTTCTCTCTCTCAAAAACAAACAAACAAAAAAAAAAAACTAAACAAAAAAAAACCAACACAGGATAATCAAGAACCTGCATAAACAAATTACCAAGTAGACTTCATTAAGGTGTCCTTTTAGAACCACTGTCCATCATTCTCTTCATCATCTTCCTCCTCATGGTCCAGGTAGAGAAGTGCAACTTTCTTTTCATCAGAAATAACTGACCTTTGGTCTACCATCCTTTGCAATTGAACAGTTTTATCAAAACCTGACTTCTCCGCTATGTTTTCAACATGATCTTGGGAAAAACTGGAGTGAATATAACTTCCTTTATTTTCACTGTCCCCACTGTGGTCACTTTCAACTCTAAACTGTGACTGATTAACAGAAGGGTCTTGTTTATTCGGTATGAGCATTGTTGCTTGTTCTTCACTCTCTGCCGTGGGTACTCCACCTGCATTGGAAACATCCATTTGGAAAGTAAATGACGTCTCACTGGATCCTACTTTAACATGCTTCATGGAGCTGCTGCTCTCAGACGACTCTCGTGTTTGCGAATGATCTTCTAGTGTTTCAGAAATGGGTCTTGTAAAGATGATTTGTTCACTTTGAGTTTCTACAGGAGTTATTCTAACATGCCTGAAAGATGTACTGATATCTGAGCTTCCTTCATTCTCTGAAAGATGTCCCTTGTTCATGAGCTCTGGAGTTTCAGAAAGGGAGCCTTGATATATGATTCTCTCAGTTGTTTTAACTCCTGTTTGGCCTAGCCTAAAATGCCTTACTGAGCTTTCTGAATGGGTCTGGTCTCCCACTTCGCTGATTTCAATATGCTCAGTGATGGGGCCCTGGTAGATGACTTTTTCAGCTGTCATAAACTCCTTAGGACCTAACTGAATGTGTCTTACTGAACTTTCCATCTGTGAAAAGTCTCTAGAATCGCTGATCTCTACTTTACCAGAGATGGGTCCTTCAAAGATAACTTGCTCAGAGTGAATCTCTTTTGGGTGTAATCTAAACTGCCTTACTGATCTGCTGACATCCACAGACCCTTCTGTCTGAGAGAGATTCCCTGAGCTATTGAGCTCCAGAGAATCTGAGCCTGGCCCTTCAAAAGACACTTCTTCAATTACTTGCCTTGATCCTACTGTAACATGCCTCGTGGACCTGCTGATATCTGATGAAAAGGTCTGCTGGGAAAGATTTCCAGAATCCATCTCTTCTACGGTTGTCGTAACGGGGCCTCTATAAATTACTTCTTCTGTTGTTTGGATTTCTTTAGGACCCAGTTTAAAATGCTTCACAGAATGGCTCATCTCTGACGAGCCCTCTGTCTGAACAACATCTTCTGTGGCACTGAGCATTTCAGAGCCAGGCCCTTCATATACAATCTGCTCAAACCTCTGGACTTCTGTTGGACCAACCCGAATATGTCTTACAGATTTACTCTCATCAGTTGATTCAGGTGAGTGAGAGTCCTCTCCAAAATGTGCAGTTTCCAAAACCGAACCATCATAAATGACTTTTTCAGTGGTATGATATCCTGTGCTACCACTCTTCCTGACTGTGGATGACCTGTAGACTTCTTGATTAGCCACAGGAGTGTATATATCACTGTGTGCGGAATCATCTGTTTCTGTACTGATTTTACCATCAACTCTCTCCAACTTATCTCTCTTCAAGGAGTGTGATGATGTCTTCTTCTCACCTGCAATTATTTCACTGAGCTCAGCTACGTTGAACTCATCAGCATTAAGGGTCTGAGATAGATTGACTTCAGCAACAATTGTCAGCAAGCCTCCCTCCTCTGTTTGATGAACTTTTTTGATATCAAATTCCAAGTTACTAGAGTCAGCCTGACTTTCTTTTGTTAACGCAGACAGTTCCTCTTTTACACTTTCTGGGAGACTGCCTTCCAACTGTTCTAAAGCTTCCTTCAGTTGTTGCTTGGGGTCCTTGGTTTCCTTTGATAAAAGCCCCTTTATAGAAGCCTGAAATTCTTGGGGTATCTTAATTTCTTTTTCAATGACAACAGATTCAACATGGGATGTTCCAGCTTTGGGATGCTCTTCTTTTAATATGTGGGCAGTTGCTTCCTCCCCTACCACTCTGTACGTTTCCTCTGGAGAGCTTACACCTTCATCTCTCTTACTTTGTGTTCCTTGCAAAAATTCGTCCTGCCAAGAATACTTAATAGTTGATTCTTCTTCTATGTGAATTTGCCCATACACTGAGTCATCATCTTTTTCATTAATAATAGGATGATCATCAGGAACAGACACAAAGTATTTTTGTTCGATAGGTGAGTCATCTTCCTCAGTCACTTCCTCCACGTGAGTGAAGCTTTCATGGCGTTGTTTCCTCTTTTTAAGATCTTCATACGTAAGTGTTATGTCTTGCTCCTCATCACCATAACGCTTCTCTTTTTCAGGGAATGTGTCTTCCACTTCCTCCACTTCAAAAGGTGTTGAAAAATCAGTCCTTTCATCAGTGGCATAATCCACTGTTTCCTCCACAATCTCAACATTAACGGACATATTCTTTGCATCCCCACTTCCTTTCAGGCCATGATGTACTATATCTTCTATCTCCTGTTTGGAAGGAGTTCCCTCAGCACTCTCTAACACTTTTCTAACATCCTGATTTGAAAGACTTCCTCGGCCAGCTTCAGCAGAAACATCTATGTTTTCTTGTACTCGAGACTGCACTGTCATCTCTGTCTTTATTTTCCCATCATCACCTTGCTTTTGCTTACTGAAAGAGGTTACTTTTGTGTCTGTTGATACTTCTGAACTAGAAGACTGTGTAAAACTTTTAAGAATGTCAGCAACAATGTTCTCTGCTATATTTTCAGTTGACAGAGTCTCCATTTTATGACTTCTGTCACTAGTTCTCTCTTCATCTTTCAGATTAGATTCTGAAACACTGACTTTGTGAATTTCAGCAGGCTTAGTTTCTCTGTCTCCTGTCTCTCTTCCGATGGAAGTTTTAAAATCTTGGGAACTTATATCTTTGTTATTCTTCTGAGATACTTCATCAGGAGCAGGTCTTTCAAGACTGATGGGTATCTCAATGACTTCTCTGCTTTTGGATTCGAAGGATACATCTGTATCTTTTTTGCTTGATTCATTTTTCAAAGTTCTTGAAATTTCACTCCCTGCTACCTTCTGGTTAATGACTTCCTCCCGAACATATTTTTTCTGCTCTATTCCCATTTTTGCATCACTCTGCCTTCCAAAATTAACACTTCTTTCATCTACAACAGTCTTCTCATCTACCTTTCTTTTCTCCTCTTTTGTTTGTATCTCTAGCTTATCTTTTTCTTTAGTCAGTGATTTGCTTTCTTCAGCTGGTTTGCTGCCTCCTCTTTTTTCTTTTACTGTGGTCTGGGTTTCAGTTATGGTTTCTTCATATACAGATGGTTTTGAATTGGTGTTCAGCTCATAAGTTGGAAATTTAGAGAAGTTTGGTTTTGTTCTTAGATTTTCAGAAATCCTAGGTTTTTTGTCAGCTTTGATGTCCTTGTCTGATCTTTCAGCATGTGTTGACTGTTTTGAAAAAGATACTGTAGATGAAGATGTAACTTCTGTTTTCTTTCTTTCTGGGATTGTCTTTTGCTGCGTTTCAGTGTTTTTCCAGCTACTGTAGCCTGGAGTATATGTTCTTAATTCTTTGTGGTCTGTCACAATCCTTTCATCCTTTCTAATGGTTGATGAAGGGCGATATATTGAACCTAGTAAATCTTTTCCAAAGTCTTTCCCACTCACTGCTCTCTGTGATCCAATCTGTGTTGATTGAGCTGAATAGCGTGCAGAACCGCCTATGTTTGCCGCAGGTATTCTGTGCCTTGTATCAGAGATCCTGATAGCTGGTGAAGTTTTATTTTGACTTCTTTCCTGATAAGTAGAGTACGTATCAGTGTAGTTATATGAAGAGTTTATAATATCTGCAAAGAGAGTGTAGGCAATCAAATATTAAAATAATGGCTTAAAAAATAAAAAATATCTAAAAAGAGTACAGAATAAAGAGGTCATGAACTAAGAAACGTAACACTAAAATTTGAAAGGAAACAGTGAATCTTCATTTTCAGTAAAGCTTTGGAAATGAATTTCCATACGCTTGGCATGATAATTAACTCTTTACATATTACATTAAGGCTGAAAGCAAAACTTTTTACTGAGTTGCAAGTTCTTGCTAACTTAACATTTTATGAGCCATTGGATATTACGGCATTTACTTAAGAATTACTCCTTTCATATTTACATTGATGCCCACTCACATTTACAAGTTCTTATTAAAAAGCGGATGCTAATATCCTAGGCTTGGTTTTTTGCTTCTTCAGTCCAAGTGCTCTGAAGTTTCTGTTTCTACAGATAGATAATGGCATACCTGCTACTGCATGCTGAATACTATCATTTATAGCCACAAGATACAACAAGGCACAATAAAGGAGAGTAATCAAGAATCTCTTAGCCTATATCTGTACATGTTAATAAAATGGACCAGCAATAATTGTCCAGCTCTAAGACTAACTCAAATCTCCTATTCCTAAAAAGCTAGCTACATCTACTCTGACTTTTGGTAGTGCTTCCTGGTCTGCAGTAACCACTGACCACACCGGAGCATTGTCTGCGAAAGGACTGAGTAATCCAAATCAAAACTGCCAGAGGCACTGATAACAAATTAACATTATAGGCAAGTGTATGCAAGTGCTTCAGCTATGCTGTAGTCTATTTAATTTACTACTACACATACAGACTTCCAACCTCTTCTGAGGCTAATGTCTGTGATGGTCTGGTGAATTTAAGATAACACTTAAGACAAAACTCAGGAGCATTATCAAGACTAATTCCAATATTAATGAGAGTTGCCCTAGCAGTCAGCTCGTAAATTCATCTCATCCAGTATCCTGTTTACAGCAACCAACAGTAGAATAAGGAAGAGTATAAGAACAGGGCAAGTAAATAGTGATACTTCCCTGGTATACTCTCACAGCCTCCAGAGATTTGCAGCTCCTAAGATAGAAATGGTATCTTTATGTTTAGTATGTCTTTGATTTGTCTTTTCTTACTCTGCTTAAATTTCTCTTTAAACCCACGTGCATTTATTAACACTCACAATGTCTCATGGTTTCAACTCACAGTGCCGTGGTTTTAACAATGTTTTGTTAAATACTACTTGCTTCATTACTTCAAAACTCTCTTAACAACTATGGGCATCCGAAAGTTTTTGCACTGTTGAGCTACGAAACATCACTCCCTGCTGAACTCCTCCACCTGAGTCACAATTTTACAATTTTCTTATACACAGAGCACTATGCTGATTTAAAATATTAAAACTCAAAACCAATTTCACAGTACACTGATAAAACAGAAACACTGTAACACACTATTTTCCAATTATATTTAATCTAATTCAATTTTCATTTTTTAATGTTCACTTTTTACCTTGAGGCAATTTCCCTATAAGCTGATCTCTCCATGTAATAATCCACTGGTTGCTTTCCCCTTCCAACAAAGCCCTGCAAAACACATAAAAAAAGCATTCCATCAGGATACTGGGAAAAATAATCATAATATTTTAAATATGTAAGTCTTAGAATTGTAAAAAATTATCCTGCAGTTGGGTCTGATCCTGAATGCGATTCTCACCTCATAATTTTACCGTTAGAAATCCTTGGCTTACTCTGAGTTCAGAGAGTTCACTTCTTTAGGATAATGCAACGATCTTGCAGTAAGTTATAGCATACAAATTGTAACTTCCAAACCTGTCAATATATTGCTCCCTGACATGGAAAAGATACACGGATTTGCATTATGTAATCGTACAAACTAGCATGTTTTCCCAGAACAATAGTCTTACAATGGAACTAGGAAAAAATGAGCTAAGCAAAACTTAGCAGTTATTCAGTAAAGTTTTTTCAGAGAAACACGCAGAAACAATTTATAAAGAACTGGCAAAAATGAAATAATACTGGCAAGCAAATAACCAGCTTGGTTACGTAGTACCAGAAGTGTTGCAGTATTACAGACAAGGTAACAGTTATTCTAATTTCTATAGAATGTAATTTCTATCCTTTTCAGGTGAAAATATTACTTCTACTGTCAAAGAGTGGCTAGTGCTGGAAATAATTATTCTTAGTTCTTACTCTATCTGAAATCAACACAACATATTACACACCAAAGGACTAGGAAAAATCTTTGTGATAGAAACTTCTGCGCTGGGGGCACACATTAACTGTTCTTGGAGACATCACACCCAGCTGATTGCTTGAGAACACTTGCTATCCTACCTTTATGCCAAATTTTGCTCCCTATATGGCATGCCTGAGCATGGACACCTCTCAAGAACAACCAGACAGCAGCCACAGGTTTGTTCAGTTCCTAAATAACTTGATGGCCTACTTTATTTTTTTCTGGTTGTGGAAAATACTCCAGAGGTACATTTCCTACAGATACTAGCAAAGCTGAGGGGCAAAATATTTTCAGCATTAACTGCTCTACATTAAGAAATTGATACAGGCAAATAGCATACTCCTACCCCCTCAGGGGAAAAAAGAACCAAATTGCTCTCTAAAAAAAAAAAAAAAAAAAATTGTTGGCTTCTTCTATTTACAGAGTACAAAAACTAGATAGTAGAGTGACATCTTACTCAGTCCTAGCATTTTTAGATATGGTGATTCAATAAGATTGGATCCCAAAATTTCTAATAAATTCTCTTGAAATACTTGTTTGCTTTCTTCTCTTCTGCTACTCCTATGCTTGTACTGTCTGACATGAAGTGTATCCAGCAGTTCTTAAAAAAAAAAAAAAAAAAGCAAGAAGGGGAAAAAAAAAGAAAAAAAAAAGTAGTTTGCATCTTCTCCATTGTATCTGGGTCACAATCTATGCTATACACCAAAAAAATGCTAAACTGCAGCATTCGGGTTTATCAGCCTAGAAATTCTACAGCAGGTTCTTTAAATATGCAACTGAATGCTATAATCAGTACAGTACTTTGGTGTTTTTATGTTCACTCCCACTGGTGAGATAACTGTTTCATCATTTCCAGTTTTGGAAATGCCGGATGTTTTGCACTGATAACAGCAGCTGCAAGATCAAAGTTGTCAAGGGGGGAGGCTGCAGGACTGTGATAGCCAAGGCTTCTGACTCCCTAGCAGGGAGCTGACAGCAATTGGTGGCTGTGGAATAAACACATTTGCTATGCCTTTCAAGCAAAATGAACAATGCAGACATTTTAAATATCACCTGTAGATGATGACTAACCAGTTTGAACATTGCATGCTTCTTTGGGTTTCTGACAGCCTCTACATTCAATGGGACAATGCTATGTCAGCAAAGATCACCTGTAAGATTTTCTCTGCAACCGTGCATTTACTCTGGTTCAGAAGAAACACCAGATCAGAACTGCCTAACATTATTTACAGGTTACTTGCTTCCTTAAACAGGTTCAGATAAACACTTGCAGTTATTTTGTTAAATTCAACCTTAGAACAACCTTTACTAGTGAAAATGAAAATACAAGCAACTTGTCTTTGTCCACATTTAGTAGCAATGAAATCAATTCAGCATTTCTAGAGAGTGTTCCCAAGAGCAAACATCTTATCTGATTAACATGGTGAGTGCCAAAGAATTTGCTCTGAAACAAATGCTAGAAAAACTGCTGACATTCCAGGTACATATCAAGGAGCTGGCAATGAAAATGTTAACCATGATGAAGGGAACTAAGAATGTGGGTAGTTTGACTAAGGATTTCTGGCTGCTATTAAAACAACAGTTGTTCAGTTGCTGCAGCAACGTATGAAGTCACTAAAAATAAGAGGTAACTGTATACGGCAAAGGGCAACAGCACACAGAAAAGCTGGAGCTGAAATATTACTTCTGAAAATATGTTGTACTTGAAAATGAAAGGCAAAGCTTCATGAAACCTCTAAAAAACTGGGCAGTGGATCAGTGTTTTACTGTATACCATTCATAATCGATTTCCTCAAGGTTATCAGGTAAACAAGAAGATATTAAACCGATATTGGTTTAATTTAATTACCATAAGAAACTATAGTATAAAGCACTAGTCTGGAAGTCAGCAAAGCCAGTTTCACTGGCTTCACCTTCACTTCAGTTTATGTAAGTAATTTTGCTTCTCTATTTCTTTGCATCACTTCTTAATAACAATTATTTAAGCCACAAACTCTGTGTGGTAAAGTCTGCTTTAAATCTGAAACTGAACCATTGAATAGTGGAGTGTTAATCTCAACAGTATAAACTTTTTAGTATTTATAGAAATGACAAAAAGCATTCCTTCAAATTGCACTCTAAAAAATAACTGTCAGCCAATTCCTGGAAATCTGACTCCCTGTGACATACATAAACACTGACCTAAGACTTAACTTAAATATTTCCAGAAAACAGTACATCTGCACCTTTAACACACCTCATTATTAATGCCATTTATCTAAGGTTACGTGTAGCAGTTACACGGTAGCCAACCTGAAGCCCTACTGTGTACTGGATGCTAAAAGAAAAAGTGGTCCAGAAGAGCAGATAGATGAGCTAAACTGGTTGGGTGGAGAGGGAGAAGATGCCAAAGGTAAAGGAAGTCATGTAAATGTTATCATGGTCATTCACAACAGCAGTAACTTGATCTGTCTCAATGACAGAAACTGAAAATCTCAGAGGCAGTTCGCCAGCAGCCCATAAAAATTCATCCTCTCCATCCTGAGTATTTGGAAAGAGTTGTAAAAAACTTTGGGAAATGGAATGGGGTGGAGGAAGCATTTTTAGGGGGCAAAGGCCAATCCAGCACAGTTCTTTTCCATTGTGAGACGAGAGGACAAGGACTGTGTGAAGAATAGCAGGTGACTAATTGTACATAAAACAGCCTGAGCATCAGTGGCTTAGAATGTCGTCCAGGAAATAAAACAAAGACAAGTATACTCATATATCTCATATACAAGTTGTATACAGGCAGTAACAAAACTGACTGGAGAGGCTATGGTGAACATCTGAGGAGGCCTTAATGCTGGTGAAGATTTCTTGAGGGGTAGAATTGGAAAGATTCAAAAGAAATGTTGATGGAGCAAACCAACCTAAGAAGGATTGGAAAGTAGGTCTGATAAGTGCATTAGGAGGTTCTGACAACAACCATGACCAAAAACTGCTTTGTAGGCTTCACTGCTTGAAAACACAGCATGATAACCTAGAACAGAACATTTCCATGACATAGGATTTCAAAATAAGATATTTTACCCTTCAACAACAAGACAGTTTAGGAAGGGCAGGAAAATAACTTACATAGAGGCTCAGGGCAGCCCCGGCTATTTGAAATGAAGCTTCTGATAGCTGAGGAGTCATAGATTCATACAGACACTTGAGTGGAAAAGTATTAAATCTAACCATCAATCTGACCTACCACATCCCATCACTAAGCCATGTTCTTTTGGTGCTATGTACAAGTTTCTCAAATTCTGCCAGGGATGAGGACTCTACCACTTCACCATCAGCCTGTGCCAATGCTTGACCAGTGTGAGCCTTGGATCCCACAGCAGGAAGAATGAGCAGAACTGGATAGGAAGTACACTAGGCCCTTGGGGAAGGGTGTTCTTTGCAACAGCGAAGCTTCTTGCCAGTGCCAATGCAACTGACTAATGGAAAGAACTAGCTTTAGAATGGGACCTGTAGGAGTCGTAAAACAAAAGGAAAACATAGGTGGGAGGTAAAAAAAAAGACAGCTCCAAGAGGCTGACCAGACTGCCTTTCCTGCCAAGAGGAGTGGAGGCGCCAGAGCCTTAATGGAAACTTCTCAGTGGAAAGTTCAGGATGCTGAAGTGAGGTGCCTTTTGTCTCCAATATGCATAAACAAGGGTATATGCCAGGATTCTTTGTGGAAACAAAGAGAAGCTGGATTCACGTGCCATGGTTATCGCAGATCAAAAGATCTGGCAGAAGAACTGGATTTCAAAGTATTGATCAGCAGTCCAGTCTCTTACTAAGCAGCTTCCTTTACAATAGAAGTAGCATCTGTCTCCAGCCCGTAAGTTCATCTTTTTTTTTCCTTCTGAATCACTTCTATACTATGTACATACTGATACATCACGATTCTCCAGACAGAAATAGTCTGGCCTTCCAGCCACACATCTGCCAAGTCTCTAGTTATATACATACAGTACTGAGGATTTATGAGCAGAAAGACTGTTTGTTGGTATCTCACACTTGATCCAAACATACTTCCCTAGCAAATAAAGAATATAAAAAACTGGGATTTATCAAACAGACTTTTCTGTGATTTTCTCACTCTTCTCCAGCTGGAAGAAAACAATTGAAAACTTACTATTTACATCAACATTGCAAGAGGCCACTAAGCAGAATATTTAATGATGAATTTTGCTGTACAACTTGACAGACAGCAGCTATACTGCCTCATATTTATTATCATTATCCTCTGATTAGACAACTGAGTGTGACTGAAATACTTACCTGTAAGTTTCAATTTCAAGGATGAGACCTGCTTTCACCTGCAGCAGTTCTTGATAGTCCTTCAGGTAATCTGTGATTGACATGGTCAGGAACTGCTTTTCTTCTTCTAGAGCATCGATTATCCGCTAAAAAGAAATACTGATTTTTAGTTTTGAATAAGCTCTAAAATCTGCCATATTTGAATGCTTAATAACTTAAAAGTTTTAATTACAAATAATAATAATAATAATAATAATAAATCTGGGGGAGCAGTAAATCAACATATTCCATCATTTCAAAAAAACAGTACAAATCAGCTCTGGGACTTCCCTACATACATTACTACTGAAACAGATTTGTGCTGAGATTTCACTTTATCAAGCTAGTGAAATATTTAAGCAAAAGCCATTCAAATGCTGCATACAAAAATAATCAAGTGTGCATAGCAAAGAAAATACACTGCTTTATAAGTGTGACTTGCGTGGGATTCCTTCTGTCATTTTAAGGGTTTCGATTCTTGAGATCTGAATTTTTGCAATTTCTTTGCTAAGAGAAGCTGGCTGATTTCTTTGTTAGTATTTTGAGGTCCACACACATGTGGGCCCAAATGTTGGTTTCTAGTACATCTAGAGATACTCAGTGCCTAAAAAGTGAAGGAAGAACCTCCAGAAGTTCCTTCCCACCAAGTTTTCTACAATCTTGGATACTTGCTTCTAAATCCACCCACTACTCTTCTAACTGCTGCTCAGAAGATATACAAAGGAGTGCTCATCTTCATTGTGGTTGATGAATATAACTTTGCACTTTTATATGGTGCCTATAAGTTACCTGAGATGAGCAATGACATAACCAAGTCCAGATCTTTTTGAAAAGTTCTGAAAATGAAGTTAGAGGCAGATACTGCAAAATACTGAAGTACAAGATGATCTAAAATTTAACATACTCATAAAATACCACATTGAAACTTAAAAGCTGACTAACCATACACAACACAAAAAGCAATGAAGCCTTCTTAAACAGAACACTGAGATTTGATTTAGACTATAATAAGTGAATTCTGCTCTTGAAAAGAACACCGCAGAACACAAGGGCTTTAATCACTGGTGTTACTTCTCACATGAAGGGCAAATCTCCATCTCCAGAAAACAATCCTCTCCCTGATAACTGAAAGGAGTTTGTTTGGTACAGACTCAAAACTGAAAGTATCGGTGGTAGCTTTCAAAGCGATTCTTCATGGTTTCCCCGCTATGGATATCATCTACTAATCCAAAATCAATCCTCATCAGCCAGCATGCTGAAGTTAACTAAAATGCTATAGATTACACTTGGTTTTGAGGGCTAGGGAGACAGAAATGAAATCACAGCAAAGGCCCAGTCCTATTTCGTTCTTATCACTCTGCACTGTGCAGGAACCAAACTGTCATTTACAAAGCAAAGTCTCATACACATATATGGTACTGAACAGGAATTCATGACAGCATATTTTAGATTGCATCTTAACAAATGCTTTGCAATACAGACAGCAACATCAAGATGGTGGTAGTCTAGTTTTTGAAAATGCAGAGTATTTATTTTTATGCACCAAGTGTTCAATTGTCACAGTATGAAGAATAGCATAAAAGCATACATGCAGCAGGAGACTCCCCAAACTGGTTAGAGCTAGTATGATGTGCTGCTGGCAGAAGCAAGCAGAACCAAGAACATAAAGTGCTAGCCTTTCAAACATTAATAGGCTTTTTTAATGCAAAAGCAAAAAGAAAGCTTCACGAAGGAAGCTGCCTGTATCTTCACAAGCGCATGGGAATATCTGTCTACCTATTTCTTCTGTTGTATTTGCAGCTCTTGTTCTATGATTAGACTGACATTTGGGCATTAATTTTACTTGATGTAACACATCTTGTCCTCGGTCTTTGGCATATATTAAAGCTCCTTTTTTATGGCAGAAAACAAATAACATTTGTGTATCTGAAACAGCACTATCAGCCATCCACTAGGCTCTCCGGACTGTAGAGGAGGTAACTGCAGTGGTATGGTTCTGCATGGTGGCAAGCAGAACCACTGACCTTTAGAGGCTCTTAGGCAACAGTGCTATTCAAGAACTGACACAATGGAAAATCCCAAGATGAGAAGAGAAGAAAAGTGCCAGGCCTTGCTTTTAAAAGGAAAAGGCTGTGAGAAAAGAACAGACAGGGTGTTGCCAGAAGAGTCTACAAAAGAAACAAAAGACAAGAAAGACTGGATATCTATGAGACTGATCCCTAAAGGTGGTAAGATACAAAACAAGAAGATTCAGGCATTTGTTGCCTCTTCATTAAATACAGAGACTAAATAAATAAAATTAGTTACAGTGTCCTAATAAGGGGCTACATAACTGGGCTAGCTGCTTACTTGCTCTGAAGGAATTCATTCCAACAGGAGGAGACGTTCTGTAGACTGGATGGCAGACAGCCTCTTGCCCAGCCTTCCAGTCACTGACATTTAACTATGGTGCAGAGCACAACATACCGTTTCCAAGCATGCTAAAAAGCTGTCTGAAGCCCAGGAGGTGGGAAACTGACAAACATCAGTTCTGTAAAAAGTAACCTGTGCTGTGGCAGCCATGTTTGCTTCACGGTTACTCTAAGGGAGTAAGTGTGGCTCCTCACCCATATCAACCTCTCTCAAAGTCCTGGTGAAGTCCCACTAGAACTGTATGACTGAATAGAAGCGATTTTCTCATCCTTCAGGGGTCTCTTTCCAGTCAGCAGTGGGAAATTTCAGAAGGACAGTAGGGGAAAAGAAAGTACTTGGGTTGTCCAACTGTACCTACTGAGGGAATAAAGACACGACATCAGGCTCCAGCCCCTTCCAGCTGGTACTGTTTACCAACCCCATTCAGTGGCTCAGTAGGGGGAGGAACTGTGCTTAGCTGGCTGGAAACTGGTACACAAAAAAATGCTTGATATTACATGTTCATTTGACAAATCATTTTCTTTTTCTCTGGAGCTCACAACAAGACTGACACAGCTCTAAAACCCCTGAATTAGTGAAAAATTTCTGCCTCCTTTCAAAGCAACAGCTATGTCCTTTCTGACACCTGAAAACTGCGGAGCTTCCTTCTGCTGTCACTCCATATTGAACCTGGTACTCAAATCACTGAGAGTGTTGGTGCAAGTATTTTGAGAGCATACAGCTGAAATGATGGAAGTGAGATATAAGAAATCTACTGATTTCATCCCACAGCACCCAGGACCAGTGAAAACGTTCCACACAGTGCATGATTCACAGCATGCCTGGTTCAGCTGAATTATAACTCCAGGCACATATTTCTATTTAACGCTGCTGAAAGCTTCAGTGAGGACAGGGGTGGGGTAGGAGACAAAGATGGACATATAAGGCGACTGGATGATATATGGAAAGTATGAATAAATCTAATTGCTATTACAGCTGCAGTGGACAATAATCACTTGACTTAAATCTGTACATACTTATCATTTCTATGTGACACTTTGCAATAAATAGGCACAGAATAGAAACTCTTTAAAGAGTCATAGAAAATCTATGCTAAATGTACTTTTACCAAGAAAAGAAACATTGAGAGGAAAAGAAAAAGAAAAAAAAAAAGCTTTGATCACAAGAACAAAACTTGCACAAGCTGCTGCTTCTACACATTCTGCAATTTGTTTTCCTGAATGTGAATCAATGTTTTTCTCTTTCTTATGCACAAGTTACTGCAAAGGACCTTTTCCACTGGAAACCAAACAGTTTAAACAGTGCAGTGAGGACAGATTTTGGAAATCAAAATAACGAAACATTAGTTGGCTTATGTACATTTGTGTAAGCTTAAGATCCTAAAAGAAAGGTTTAAAGAATGACAGCTTTTGAGGTTTTTTTCCTCTTTACATTTCCCCCTGGCTTTGATCAATTGATAGATTTAATTAGTGAGAGATTTACACAACACTTCTAAAACTTTGGAAGAGTTTACATACGTGATTGGAAGAATAAAGTCAGAATAAAGGCTGTCAAAAATGAAAGGAGGAGAGGAGGAGAGGAAGAGAAAAGGACAGGAGGAGAGGAGGAGAGTCTGAAAAGACTCAGAAGTTAAGAGCTTTTCAGACTGCTTCTTACGTGCCTACTCTGACTCACTTCACAGCAATCTGCAAACTACGCAGCTTGCAAACAATCCAGCAGCCTACAAAAACCAGACACACAGCAGCGGGTCCCAGTCCTATCCCAGCTGCCAGCGTCTCCATAATCTGCCGCTGCTGGATACAATGTCACATTACCACCGGGGCTTCAGACAAACAAGGAGCTCCAACAGAGTGTTAATAAAAGGATCTAACAATGAACAAAAGAAATGTTGCCCTCGGGAAATGGATCGATGGTCTGGATGATCTAATATGTGCTCTCCACTCTAAATCTGATGAACTGATATTTTTTCTGTCCTGGCATTTGCTGATCAGTTCAGCATGATTATACGTGCCACCAAACATTATTCTGGCTGCAAGCAAATTCTCAGCTACAGACCTATGATAACCTTCTGTTTAAAAACATCAAACATTCATCTGAAACAGCTGCCAGTCACCTACACTGGTATGGTTTTATTATCAAACAATTCCTATTAATCTTGTTGTTTGTAGCGCAGTAATACATCTTCCTGCCTTCAAAAGACTAAGTTTCCTCACCTATAGTGCGGACCAGAAGCATTTCTCTAGGCTCAGAAGTGTGCGTAACACTGGAAGAAAATTCAGATCACTTCTCCGATCTCATCAAGTCAACCTTAAGTCTCAGGCCAGAAGGAAAGCTTTGTGTCCCAGTGCTCGGGGACTCGCTTCATCCCCCCCAGGGACTGCTCTGTGTCACCGTGCGCTTGAGCCAACCTGAGCGGCAGCCCTGGCAAGTCTGCGAGCCAGCTCTTGGGAACTTGGCAAGGGCACTGGGAAGGGAGCACCTGTCACCAGGAAGATGCTCTCAGGGTCACCAGCGCACTCAGAAACCCCACCCTTCGCAGAGGACTCTCCCTGAAGCGGTGCAACAAGGCTCCCTGAAGCCCCAAGAGAAGGGCTTTTTCAGCCCGAGGAAATCCTGCTGGAGGGAGGCAGAGCGGGGCAAGGGAGCCCAGGCCCACAGGTTTTTATGCACTTCCCACGGCAGGAGCAGGACTCAGAACCATGGGAGTAGGCTGCCAGCATAACGGAGCCTTGTGCAGTGGGGTGCTGGGCAATCAGGATCACATCTCACTACGGACCAGAACTTAAATAAATAAATAAATAAATAAATAAAAATAAAAAATAAAAAAATAACGAATGGGAGGGTGGAAGGAGATGCGGAGGCACCAAAACAAGCGCCAAAGAGGGAGTGTGAAGCAGCACGGCTGGACAGCCTCGGCGAAGGGCCGCGATTGAGGGACGACGCGTCCCCGGACCCGGCAAGGCAACAGTGCCACGCACCTGGTACTCGTCCACCTCGGCGCCGTGGCGGTCCTGCATGGCGAGCAGCTCCTGCTCCAGCCGCTCCCGGAGCCCGCACAGCTCCTGGCCCTGGCGGTGGAGGTCCTCCAGGTGTTGGCGGCACTGCCGGCTCTCCTCCCGCAGGAGCTCCAGGTTCTCTCGGCTCCGCTGCGCCTCCTGCTCTTGCAGCCTCTGGATCTGCTCCTGATAGCGCAGCAGAGTCTCCTGGCAGCTCTGGCTAAGCAGCATCTCGTAGGTCTCCTCCAACTCCTCCAGGCTCAGGGCGGACAAGGGGGGCGGCAAGGCGGCCAGGTCCATCCGCAGCTCTCGTATCTCCACCGCCTCCCGCCGCTGCCGCTCCGCCAGGTGCCTGTGCTCGTCCTGCATCTGCAGCAGCAGCTCCTCCAGCGCCACGCACTCGCCCTGCAGCCGCTGCAGCAGTTGCCGCTGCCCGGCCAGCTCCGGCTCCAGGCGGCGGCGCATCGCCAGCACCTCGGCGCCCAGCAGCTGTAGCTGCTCCAGCTCCCGCCGCAGCCCGTCCCGCTCCAGCTCCGCTTCCAGCTTCGCCTGGCTCAGCTCCTCCAGTTGCATGCGCAGCCAGGCCAGCTCCTGCTCGGGCACACGCAGCCCGATCAACTCCTGCTCCCGCAGCTCCGCCAGCTCCCGCGCCAGAAAGCGGTTCTCCTCCTCCAGTTCCCTCACTCGGGACACGAAGACCCGCAGCCGGGAATTGAGCTCCTGCAGCTCCCTCTTCTCGTCCCATCCTGCTTCCCAGCGCCGCCACATCTTGTCCGGACTGCGGATCGGAGCCGCTCTGGCCCCTGTGCCGCTGCTGCCGGCCGCTGCGCAGCTCCTGCCGCCTCCGCCGCCTCGCCGCGGGCTCTGCGCTCCGCCGCCGCCTCCCGGCCCCGCTCCGCTGCCAAGCGCCGCCCGCTCGCCGCCGCCCGCCTTCGCTCAGCTGCCCTGCGGTGCCCCCTGCCGGCCGCTGCCCGCCACGCTGCGAGCCGGGGCGCTCCGCGGGAGCCGCCAGAAGCGCCGCTGCCGTGCGCCGGCCTCCCGGGAGGGGAGACAGCTCCTTCGGGACAAGCTCATCCTTCCCTCGGTGTGGGGCCACCCTGGCTGAGGCTCAGCCTGCTTTACCATCTCCGCGCCGCCGTAAATCTGTTTCCCGTGGGGGTTTTGTACAGTCTGTGATCCACCGGTGACCATTCTGCGGCTGGGCCTAAGTCAATGTTAGGAGCCAAAAGCCATTTCAGAACGGCACTTGTAAGCTGAGGAAGCTACTGAAATGCCTCCAGTTTTGAACTTGTACCACGACTTGCTAAATCTTTAAGCAACAGAAACGTGCTCAGTTTCCCAGGTTTAATGCTGCGCAGAAGCGCCTGCAGCCAACGCATCCCTGTGCCCAATTTTCTGCCTTGTTTGGCACCATATATGGGCTGGATGCAGAGAAGTCCTTTCACTGACTGCACCAAGTCTGACTTCGCGTGAGCTGTTCAGCAAGAAGACACAAAAGCATCACCCTCTGTGCTACCCACCAAATTAGAGAAAAAGATGAGGAGTGACTCATTCCAACCTTTTTCACCTCCCCAGGCATCCTCTCTATCTTCTCTCTCTCCCTCTTACACACACTTAAGCTTCAGCCAGTGCAGCACTGGGTGTTTTGCAGAAATTGCAGCTTTGCATCAGGCAGCCAGCACAGCCCCCACCTCTGCATTTACTCTTCAGGACAGTGCCCAACCCAAGCTCACACTGGGAAGCAGCTGGAGTTTGGCACAAGCCCTGCAGAGCTGGGATCAGGGCACAGCCATACTTTGTTGGCAGTGCTACACACTCATCTCTGCTCTGTCCCATCCCTCCTGAACATTCCCAGCCTGACACCACATCTCCCTTCTGTCAAAAGGCCAGATTCTGGCTGCTGCTTTGCTTTCCATGGAGAACCTTTCCTTTTAATCTCAATAAAGCCTACAGGATTTAAGCCCAACCAACACAGATAAATCATTGGCTTTGGCCTAAAAGTGAGCCAATTTAGCCTTGGCAGATTTGCTCTGTCAGAGGTCACCGAGAAGCTGATTTACTAAAGACATTTGCTTTTTCTTGGCCTTGTGGTCAAAATCAAGTCCCTCAGTGACATTTTAACACTTGCTGTTCTTTTATGAGGCAAACCACTATGCTTCCGAGAGGAGGTAAGTTCCTGTGGTTTACAGGCTGTTTCTACCTCTGGTGTCACTGTTATCCTAAAACCCCTGAATAAAGAACACTGGCAACCAGTGCTCTGCCCACAGCAATGTGCTGCTCTGAGAGGAGCAGGGCAGCTGGTTTAAGCGAGCTTTCTGAAGCTTACTGTAGATGTCCTGCCAAATAACTTACCAGCAGTTTATTGTTCTTCCTCGGTAGCAATCCGTCTGGCTGTTGGTTGATTGGCTTGTTTGGTTTGGTTGGTTGGCTGTTTTCTTTTTGCTTCAACTGTATACATAATTTTTTTGATGGCATTGTAGAAAATCCAGCTTGCTGCACCTCTACTTTTATCTGTCTTAAAAAAACCCAAAAACTCACCATAATCTCTTTCTAGATGCTGAATGGCTTTCTGCACTAGGGAATCAACTTCTCCTTGTTGTGTATGTTGATGTCTGCTGTTGATGCTGTCTGTAGCTTGTTCCTGGGCCCAGACTACAAGGCTGTTAGCAAATGGGCAGTTTGGCAGGGGAATGACTGACATGGGCAAAGTTTAGGCTCTTTCTAAAGCAGAACTCAAAGTTTTCTGAGGTAGATTCAAACACTCTGAGGCTCCTTGAGAACTTCCTGATATCTCCAGGTATGCAGACACCTAAAATGCAAACCCATCCTTGGCATCATTCTCCCTGAAGACTTTAATGAACATTCGCATTTGCAGGAGAAGGGAAAGGGAAAGAAACCTGATGTCCTCTACCAGTGTCAAATGAATAAAACCCTGAGGCTTCTGCTGCCCCAATAGTTTATCTGCCCTTGTAGGAAGAGGTGAGGTGGTGCCACAACTTTGCAGTGACTGAAGATGGCTGCAGAAGAGCCTGACAAAAGAGATAACTTTTTCAGCAGCAGATCTTGGACACATCTGAGGCAAGCTATGGACCAGAGCCTCCCTCCTCCCCAGATAAATCCCTGGTGCTATGGGCAACACCCTGCCTCTAGGAAGTAGAGCAGTTAATAGTAGCAAAGATCTGAGGAGGGAAAGAGCAGAAGGAATTCACCATCTTCACTGCTATTTCGATGACAGCAGAGGCAAACTGGGTCTCTGAGGTCTCTTGAGCTTTAGTGAAGCTTTTGTACTTTCCAAAGGTTCATTATCAGCATCCTACAAATTACAGAGTGTCACCCTAGTAACTCTTACTCCTGTTTTAGCACCAACTGTTATGCTTTCTTTCTCATCTGTGAAGTTCAAAGGATGAAGCTGTCACTGGGGAAATGTTCTGGTTTTGACATTCTTGAGACAGACACAAAGAAAACATATGGTTAATTAAAAAGGTGCACAAGATGTTGTGATTCCTGTTTGTACATCAGCTTCAAAACACGTTTGTTTACAGATGATTTCTGCAAGTAGATGAATGGAGGAATATTCCTCTGAACCAGGTAGGGAAAGAATGTGAAGTACAGTGTTTCCCATCTTCACCTTCTGGCTTTCCTGGCTACCTTGCTTTTATGATAGTGATAATAAAGAAACCACTGACAATTTGATGAATATCAGGTAATTCCACACTACTAGAGAAATGCTTGGGTTCTCTGCATCACTTTTACTGGGCCCCACCAAGCTTGGAAACCCTGAAAAACTGGCTAAAATGTCACCACGGCAGGTGATGTTTCTCCATGGGCTTGAGAATCCTCTCTCTTCTTCCAGACTAGGAACGTTTTTTGGCACTCCATTGCAGCATCACCACTGTCCTCCACTGTCTTCAACAGGAGTTTCACAGTGTATGGATTTCTTCCATAAGCTGAAAGCAGGAGCTTATCTGCAGAGCCATTTTTGCTCTTCATACATGCCGCAGCCCCTGGGGCAAGCACCTTCCTTTTGTGACCTCTGGAGCAAGCATGTGCAGTAGCCCAGTTTTATTTTCAAAAGGTCTGTGAGACAGGAGCCTTATTTGACTTGATACACAAGTACGTTTTTTAGAAAAAGCCTCACACATATTTACTTCATGGACCAAAAGCACAAAGTTCTGATTTTGTTGCCTCCGCAGAACTGAGTTTTCTTCTTTTCCTGCGAGCAGCTCAATTGCTGCAGTCAGTGCAGTTTTCCGAGCACTACTTGCAGAAGTGGTGTTCACCTCTAGATGGTGCGTTTTACTCAGAAGAACTTGACTCCTGGGCCCTTATGTAACTTTTGCTCACTTGTCAGACAGGTTGCACTCTCCAACCAAACAAAACACACTTCAGTATTTCCTTGTTTCCTTAACTCGAGGATCTGGCTGCAGTGTAATGCAAAAATGATAAAAATGTAGTGCTTAGATGCTTCAGAAAAAAAGCTTGTTACATGGCATATGGCTGGACATACGAGGTATCGACTTGGTAATGGATAAACATTACAAATCTTCTGTTTTCATTCCTATGCTAACTTAAAACAGAATCTTTTTTTTTTCTAATACAATGTCTCTGCTTTTGTACTTGAATGCAAGGGGAGAGGGAAGTCGTTTAAGCTGTTAATATCACAGAGCTGAAGCTGTTGCAGTAACTGTGTCCACTGTATTTATACTTCTCTATGGACAGCATAGGGTGGAGTGGAGCTATGAAGCTTTGGACTAAAAGCACAAATTTTAGCAAGTGTGTAACGTTCCTCAAACTTCAGAAGCTCACTGGGAGCTGCAAGCTGTGTGGACAGAGGATTTCCCATTGCTGTAGGATGATTTCCATGGGGCATGCTGCCCAAAAACCTAAAGAACTCTCTAGCTATTAATGAACTAATTAAGACCTAGAACTTTCTTATGAGGCAGATCAAATGATACCAACAGACTCTTCGTGTCCCAGGCCCTTTTCAGGACGTAACAGGTACTCTAAAAATGTAGTGCAATACTTCAGTGCAGAAAATAAGCAAGATGAGTGTCAGATCTGTGTTATGGGGAACGATCACAGCTCTCTGCACTCTGAATCTTAGCGGGCACAAATCTTACAATGATGGTGAGAGGGTGGCAGGCAGAGAAGTGCTGAGCAGTGACACGTGCATTAACCGGGGAGCTCATGTTACACTTGTGTAGAATTTAGCTGAGCTGTACTATAGACTTTGTAGAATTCCTCTATGGAGGAAGAATAAGAATCCAGTCTATCATTGGAACTGTGATTCTATTTTTGTACCTCCATTTTGATAGTCTGTAGAAAAAAAATGTAAGGAAGTATGTGTGAGAAGAATGAGCATCACAGCTTCTGTTATCCTTCTGTTTTAGTTCTGTAACGCTTTTCAACACTCGGGAATGCAAATAAAAGATAGACCCTGGTTAGCCAAATATCCAGTGTGTAGTTTGTGACTCACTTAAAATACAAAGTGGTTTCCTTCCAAATGTCAGCATTTCAGTGCACTGAAGGAACGGCATGAGATAATTTAATGCCTGAGTTTTGGTCACTTTAGAAAAGAAGAGGGGAGGATTTGGAGAAGAAATATCACTAGTTTGGGGTCAGGGATAAGAGCAGCTTGGATCTGGTTGTTCTTTTGTCTGTTGGTTGTTTTTTAAGAGATTGTAAAACGTATGCTTGTCTTCATTGTTCTCAGACACAGGAATGGTACAGTCAAAGTAATTGGGAATAGAAAAGACCCCAATCTGCTTGCACTGCCCAGCTGAAATGCGCAGAAAGTAATGAAATAAAAAGAATGATGAAAAAGAAATTA